TTTTTTTTTATAGGGGGTGGGTACCAGGGATTGAACCCAGGGGCACTCTACCACTAAGCCACATCCCCAGACCTATTTTGTATTTTATTTAGAGACAGGATCTCACTGAATTGCTTAGTGCCTCATAGTTGCTAAGGATGGCTCTGAACTCATAATCCTCCTGTCTCAGCTTCCGGAGCCTCTGGGATTATAGGCCTGCGCCATTGCGCCTGGCTCCTTGTGGATATTTTTGATTGGAAGATGTTACTATGAATTGGCTATGCCTACAGGAAGGGAAAATGAAGAGTCTATAGCAACCAGTCTGTGTTCTAAACACACTTTTCAAGACTACTTTTTTTTTTTTCCAAATTAAAAAATTTTGTGTTTTTATTTTTATTTGTCTTTTTTTTTCCTTTTTTTTTTTTATTGGTTGTTCAAAACATTACAAAGATTGCAGAAAAGACTTCTTTTTATCTGAATCCTGAGACCAAAAATGTCCTATTAACTCACAGTGAACAATGGTTAACTTCCACTCTAGTAAGGAAGGGCAAAATTGCCTTTAACCAGGTAGGATCGAAGACCAATTCTCAAGAATATGTTAACAGAGGCTTCCATTTCTAGTGTGCAAAAATTTGGAAGTATTTTATTTAACTAATTTACTCAGAATATTCCAAAGAATATCTTGTAAATTACTGAGTTCTAATAAGTCAACTAAGTGAACCAAGAAGAGGTTGTGGGGAAACAGGTTATAACATAAACTGAAATGAAAAAGGATGCCTCATTTGCTCTACAAATTGTGCCTTTTTTCAGAATTGAATATTAGGATTATCACTGTCTGTGAGAAAGATATGAGGAAATATACAACAGGAAAAAAGAGAGTTACAAAAAGAAATAATTAATATGAAAGTCAAGAGAAGGAAATTTGACTTGAAACACTTATTACCCCACGTCTTTATTTACTGAGCTATATGCTCCTCTGCAATAAAACGACACTGATATAATATCTTAAGAGCATTTACTACACTATTTTGAAACTAATGTCTGAGGATAAGATGACAAAGATAAACTCTCGTGCCATATTTTGTGATCTCTAAATTTTACATTGAACCCATCATCTGTTCACTAAATTTTGATTTATTAAGAGTACCACTCAGCCATAAAGAAGAACGAAATTAAAGCATTTGCCAGTAAATCGAACTGGGAAGTGTCATACTAAGTCTAATAAGCCCATCCCCCAAAACCAAAGGCCAAATGTTCTCTCTGATATGTGGATGCTAACACACAATAAGGGGTAGGGGAGGGTGGAGAACTGAAATTCACTATATTAGACAAAGGGGAATGAAGGGAATAGAGAGAGCATGAGAATAGGAAAGACAGTAGAATTAATTGGACATAACTTTCCTACATTCATATATGAATACATGACCAGTGTAACTCCATATCACGTTCAACTACAAGAATGGGATCCTAATTAGAATCAGTTATACTCCATGTATGTATAATACGTCAAAATACATTCTATTGTTATGTACATTTAAAAAAGAACAAAGAAAATTTTAAAAAAGAAAGAACTCAGTACTATAGCTATCCATGGGGAGCAAAAGAACACAACAAAGAGTACCACTTTAGGCAAATATTAACTTTTAGTACTAAATAAATATAGTGTATAAAATAATCTTGGGATCATTAAAAAGACTAAGTGAACATCTTCTGTACTGATGGAAAAATCACCAAATATATTATGTGAGATCAAGGATAAGTAAGATACTGGAAAAGTTTATGTATTTGTTTCCCTAAAACATAAGAATATAGAATGTGTATGTGTGTATATATACTATATCCTGGGAAGGTTAGGGGGTAAGAAGTTTGTATTTTCATTTTTTTCTGTTATTTGTATTTTTCTTGTCTAAATAAATTTTTACATTTTTTTTCTTTTTGGTAAGTTACTAGCAAGTATTACCTGGTTCCTAGAATAAAGAACTTAAAAAATAAACAAAAAGGTTTTCTGAGGTAAAGATATGTTTCTGTATCACCAACACTTAGAATAGTACACAGTTGGCATTCAATGAATGTTTACTGGGTTAAGATCTGCTTGTCATCTATTTAGTTTCTAATATTTCCTGGTATTGACTTTTAATGAGCCCCTCTTCAATTTCCCTTTATCATATAAAAAGTGCCAAATACAATCCCTTAAAAATAGTAGTAGTAGTAAATATAAGTTTATTCACTTCAATCATATTCTCTCTTACTTGTATGAAATGCAGCTGCCAAGGTAGGGAACAGTGATTTTTTTTCTTTATTCATATTTTTAATTGGTGAATTATAGTAGTATATAATGATATAGTTTATTATAATATATTCAGATGTGCACACAATATAACAATATAATTTAGCCAATATCAATCCCCAGTACTTTCTCCCTCCCTCCTGCCTCCCATCCCCCTGGTCCCTTTCTTCTATTGATCTTGTTATGATTTTCATGAGATACCTGCCCTCTTTCTTCTCTTTCTTCCTCTTAGCTTCCATATATGAGAAAAAACATAATGACCCTTGACCTTCTGAGTTTGGTTTATTTGACTTAACATAATAGTCTCTACCTTTATCCATTTTCCTGAAAATTACATAATTTTACTTTTAGTTGAATAAAGCTCTATTGTAGTCACTTACTTTCAATGATCTATTCAATACCCATCATACAAACAATCTACATCAATCATGTTTAAGTTAAACATGACTGGTTAATGTGCTTAGTTTGGAAGACACAAAAGTGTATAAATATGCTATAGGCTCATCTATAAACTTAAGTGTCTATACACTGAAGGCTCATCAATTTATCAAATCTTTCCTTGATAGGAAAGAAATGGAAGTGACAAAATATGTGGGTATACCAACCTTCCTTTTTCCTTTCAGGCTCTTCAAAGGAACTCTATATCTAACCTGTCCTATTTAAATTCATAACTATTTAACACAATAATCTACTAGAAAAGGTACCTGAAGAGTGATTTAAAATAGACTGTCAAAGGAATAACGTTTTAATTTTCTTCAATCCCGGCAAGGAGCTTCTGCCAATCTCTTTATGAATAGGATTAAACAACAAGATACCAATGAAAAATGCACCACTGCTGATAACTTCCAGTTGCCATAAAATAGTGATTTTCACCTTAACTGGACTCTTTACATATTTGACAAATATCAGAAGAAATAAAATTATCATATCCTACAACTACACAATGAACTTTGATTTAAACATGTTAGGAAAGAAACATCTCAGATCAGCTTGACTGGCTCTGGGAATCACTCCAAAAGAAAAATAAGGTGGGGACAGTGGAGAAAATAGTGTGCAAGAGTGGAATACATTGCTCAAAAAAGAGGACGTCATTCTTAGTGGGGAAGTACTGAGGCTAGATCTGAGACCTGAAAGTACAGAACTGGCTGCTAAGGTCCAGAAGGACCAGTGATGGCAGTTTAAAGAAGATATTGCCTGAAGAGCAGAGAAGGGCATCTTGGAAGAAGGCATCCTTAGGAGCAATGATGATGAACTGAAAGAAGGAAGCAGGCAGCTGAAACTAAAGACCCTAAAACGTAGGAGGGTATCTCTGAAATTAGAGACAAGAAACATTTACCTCTGCCTCTAAATTGGGACAATATTAAATTGCATTTCATTGTATGACAGATTAGAAAGCACATGAACAAAGACCCAAATAATATACTCCAGAAGCCAATGCTTATCTATCTAGAGTTGTTTAATATTACTGATTAAGAAAACTATTACACATTTAAAATTTAAAAAGCTATAGAACTGTGATTTCATTCAAGAATTTTCTCCTTTATTTCCTTTAGGAGAGATACATAAAAATACTGTAAGGTATCAGTATATAATTTAATAGAAACATTTTCTTATTCTATTTTTAAGTTTACTTTTTTCCTCTAATATTCACATTGAATATTTTTGTACTTAGCTTAGCACTCATATATTTTCCATATAAATTAAGCAATAGCTAACTTTTTGCCAATTGTTTTTTCTTTCATTCTATCTCTTTGTATTCATAATTTTACTTTTAGGCATCTTTCCTATAAGATACTTTTCAAACCCCGGACAAAGTAATTCTAATTCAATTAACTCTATTTCATAAAACATTCTGCCACTTCCAAAGATGGTTTCACTTAGTCTCACTTCAATAGACTTCTATAATTATTACTTTAACCTCTTGGACCTGACTAAATGAAAATAATGAAAATTTCACATTCAACTGGGTTTTAATACTAAGAATAAGAATAAATAATATCATCCTTATGTACACAACTTTCTGATCTAAAAATTCATTGAACTAATATAAAAGAGAACTGCTAATATTAATAGACTAACCATGTAATCTGAAGCTTCAGTTCTGAACACATATTTTATGGAGAAATTTAACATATAAAATGTACTCATCAGGAACTCTGAATGAAGGGCTATGAGGTACTTCAAATTCCCCAACCTATTTTGTACTTTGCTCTGCAGGCATCTAAATCCAGGAAGCATAATTTGAGTACAATTATTTTAATGCAAGCAGTCTTGTAGTTTTCTAAAATCTTGGTGGGCTAACTCTTCAACTATTATTTCATTTTAGAAATATCAATATTCCTTTGGAAATGGAGAAGGCTATGGAAATGAAAGCAAACCTTGAAACACTATTCATGACAAAATAACTTAGCTTTAATGTCTCAGTAAATGCATTCCTCACAAGATTTTTAAACAGAAGTTCTCTAAAATATGTATCACATAAAATTTTCAAATATTTGCAAAGCTTTCAGGACTAATTAGACCATTTTATGAGCAAATAAACCATACTGAAATATATAAAGTGATGCTGCATCAAATTTCAAATATACCATAATATTAAATTTGTAAGGAAATCAAATGTTATCTTAAATATTAATTCAAATTACAACAATGGCAAAAAGAAAAAAAGTGTGTGAAATAAAAAACAGCCCTTTTTACTCAAATAATTAAAAAGTTATGATGGAGAACTTTGTACCTTTATGTTCATTTTCAAACTCTTCAGATAAGAGGTGGTAGCAACAACCCACACTGCAAACTCCCTTGATTTCTGAATTGGAAGCAAATATTCGCAGAGTATTTGAAGCAAGATCACCACAAGTATGTAGACCCACCATTAAACATTCCTTTAAAGAAGAAAAATAAGTTTTGGCAATTAAAAGGATGGTTAAAAACAATTCAAGTTAAAATTTTAAAGATCCATTTGAATATGCAAAGCTTTATAATAAGTAATTTTTATACTTTTTTTTTAAAGGCTGTGATCTTGTAACATGACTTTTGAATTTCTTTCAGTGTCTTTATTTTTTTTTTTTTGTATCAAGGACTGAACTCAGGGCCACTTGACTACTGAGCCACAACTCCAGCCCTAATTTGTATTTTATTTAGAGAGTGTTTTGGGTTATTTATCCATTTGTATTCCTCTGAACTCCTTCACAACTAAATTGCAACACTTTTTTTGAAGGGATATTATAATCATTTTACTTTTCTTGTTAATTAGATAGTTTGGATAAGTTTTTCCATGCTACAGTACTATAAATAAAAAAATTCAGTCAGGAAAGGTTTATTGTTAATTAAGGAAGTGTATAACAGTTATACATTTCTCTCTTTAAGCTTAGCTGAACTCTCATTAAAGAAAATAATAACAACATTTAATCTCACTGTTTACTGTACTGTATTTATCATATAGAATTATTATTAGCAGGTAGCAGCTAGGAGACAAAGACACATAAATAAAACTCTATTCTAATAGTAAAATCTTTAAGTATTGTTTGTCAGGAGAGGGATAATAGGAAGATTGGTTAATTTGGGTTATTAAATTGATTTATTACAGGATCCAAGAAATAGTCTTGTATTTTATTTTAAATAATTCTTCTGAGTTTATTTTTATTGTCTATTTTCAAATATTTCAAATAGTTTTGGAGAAACTTGAAAAAAAGTGACAATACTCACTAAAAATTCTAAAGTTGGGTTAAATTAGTGGGGTCATTTAACCTGAAGAACAAACCTAATAATTGGATTCATATATAAAATGAAAACAATTCATGAGGATTAACTAGGTTCCTTTCATTGGTGTTTTTCAAAAATATGTTGGAAAAGAAAAATTTCACTTTTTAAAAAATGGCAAAACTCTAGTCAGTTACCAAAAAAGGATTTAAATTTATGAACAACTCTGATATCTTTTGTTTCCTTCCTTTGGGGAAGAATTTCTAAAAACTTTAACAAGGTAAAATAACACAATTCTAAAAGCTATCTTGTTTTGAAAGGAGTTAAGCCAAATGATCATTAGAAGCTTCTTTATATCATTCTTTATATCATTCAAACCTGCAAGAATATCCAGAAGTTATTTTTACTCAAAAGAAATCACATATTTGATCACCAAGTCTAACATTAAACATAATTTTGTTCTAGATACTTCTTTACTTTAAGTACGAGTTTCATCTCAAAGAAATGCAAGTGTTGAAGGTGATACATATGCTAATTTGCCAGATTTGATCATTATACCATGTATACATATATACATTGTACTCCATAAACATGTAAAATTTTTGTGTCAATTAAAAATAAATCTTATAAAAACACATAAGACTTTTCTTCTATTAGAATTTAAACAATACCCAAGTTGGAGATAGAGATTTAGCTTACTAAAACTGAAATTAGAAGAGGGTACTCTATTCTGGAATGTGTTCTTGGCAGATTTTAACAGCTGAAAGTAGATTAAACACCTGGTTAGTGTTTTATTTTCTTGGTCTTTTAGAAAAATGTTATCAGATTAAAATTAATGTAAAATGTAAAATTACATTAATAAGCTATTAAAATTAAATTCTGTTTACAGCATTTTTGTAAATCAAATAAAAGAATTTAAAAGTCAAATCACCTCCAGATCTTTAATAATGTCATGTAGTTCAGAATCAGCAGTGATAAAAGAGGTTAACGGTGAATATATATTTGATTCGTTTGACTTTGATGCCAATTTTCTTCTCTCTTTATTTGCTTCAGAAATTTCTCGGTTGATTATTTGAGATGAAGAGTTTGTCTCTACAGCATTGATAGGTAAAAAGTCTATCAGAGAAAAGGAATTTTCAAAACACAAATTATCTTCTCCATGTGGTTGAGCGTGTAGGTTTTCCATTTGTTTTCTGATGTCAGAAATTACAGAGCCTGAAAAATCTGGCAAATAATCTGAGGGAGACATTTTTTCTTGATTTGCAGAACTGTTATTATATGTTTCTTCAACGTTTGCATTATACTTAATTTCATTTTGCACTTTCCTTTCTTTTGCCATTTTTAAGGCCACTCCATTCACATCTACTCTTGATTGAGTATGATAGTGTTTCCAATGTTTTTTCAATTTCCTGTTTCTCTCCTTAGCCCCATGAGTATTGGTATTTGAAGAATCAATTCCATAAACTTTTAAGCCATACTTCAAGGACAAAAAGGAGCTTAAATAGCCTTTCCCAGAACCCAGGTCAATAACCTAAAGTAAGAAAAATGGAATGAATTAAGTAATTTTAGTCAGTTTGTAATAGAAAGCATTCTGGATATTTTTTAAAGCAAGTAAACAAATGAATTATATATTTACACAGCCTGTTGTATTTGCTATTTTTCTTTTGAAAAAACATTTTTATTAAACATTTTCCTATAAGTTTTCGTTAGCATAATAAACCAAGAAAAATAAGTAAAAGATAATTGTTGGAAGAAGAAAAATATCTTTATTCAAAGATGACATGACTGTATCCAAAGCAAATCTCTGAATAGAAAAAACTAACAGAAATAGTAGGTGAATTTAGCAACATGTTAGGATACAAAAGGCAATGGAAATTAACAATGAACCATCAGAACATATATAATAGAGTAATAATAAATAGTTACAAGGCAAAATTTTAAAAACATTTGAATTAAGACAGTATAACAATAGAATATCCGGGAATAAACTAACAAAGGGCATATAAGACACACACACTAAAAACTATAAAATCCCATAAAAAACTTAGAAAGTCTAGCCAGGCATGGTGGTGCACACCTATAATCCCACTGGCTGGGGAGGCTGGGGCAGGAAGATCCAGATTTCAAAGCCAGCCTCAGCAATGAGGAGAAGCTATGCAACTCAGTGAGACCTGTCTTTAAATAAAATACAAATAGGGCTGAGGGTGTGGCTTAGGGTTCAAGTGCCCCTGAGTTGAATCCCTGGTATACAAAACAAAACAAAACAAAAACTTAGAAAGTCTAAATAAAAAGATATATCAGATTCACGAAATAACAAGCCAAATGCTGAGATAGAAATTCTCTTTAAGTTGACTTAAAGATTCAACATAATCCTAATAAAAATATTAGAAGGGCTTTTTAAGGAAAATCATGAGCAGATATTACAATTTATATGGAAAAAGAAAGTTCCTAGAATAACAAAAATGATTTTGAAAAAGAATAGGTCAAAGAATATTACTGATTCAAGAATTAATGTAAAACTACACTAATCAAAAGAGTTTAGTAATGATATAAAATGGACATATAAAATCAATAGAAAAGAAAAGTCTGGAAATAGACTAAATAGACTACTGATTTCTGCCAACTGCCTAAGGAAAAGATGATAGTCTTTTCAAAAACTTGTAGGTAAAATTGAATGTGTGACAGGAAAAAAATGAACTTTTCCTGTCACACATCAAACACAAAGATTAATAAAAAGTGAATCACAGATTTAAATAACACAGTTAAAACTATTGTGTTGTGGAAGAAGCATGAGAAAAATCTCTTGTGATTTTGGGATAGGCTAAGATTTCTTATATAGGACAAAAATTCATGTATAACAAAAAAATAGTTAAAACTTCATTAAAATAAAACTTTAGCTATTCAAAATTTATAGTCCAAAATGAAAATCAATATTTTCAAAACATGTAACTGAAAAAGGGTTTGTGTACCTAGAACATATAAAAAAGTCTTACAAGTCAATAATAAGAGGACAAGCAATTCAATTAGAAAATAGGCAAAATATGTGAACATACACTTTATAAAATGATATACAAATGGTCAATATGAAGATGCCTGATGTTAGCCCTCATTAGAGAAATGTAAATTAAAGCCACAATGAGATACACAAATGTCAAATGGTATTGTCATGTAGAATGACATGGAGCAAATTACATTCTATGCATGCATGTGTCAAAATGAACTCCACTATTATGTGCTATTAAAACTTTTTAAAAAGTACAAAACTAAAAAAAAATATGTAATAGAACATTTATATACAAAGATTAAAAAAATAGTTTACTACAAATTGATACATACATTTAACATATAACCTACCAATCTCAATCCTAGCTCTTTACTCAAAAGAAATGAAATATGTCCACATACAGTCTTGTATGTGAATATTCATAGCAGGAAAAAAAGGGGGGAACAACTCAAAGTCTATCAACTTGTGAATGGAAAAATAAATTGTGTTATATCCATATTACAACATAATTTCATAAGAAAGCAAAAAGTTATCAATATAAACAACATTTATGGCTCTCAAAAGCTATGTACACGGTGAAAGAACTCAAAACACAAAATTCTATATACTATAATTCCATTTATACCATGTTCTAGAAAAGTCAAAACTACAAGCACATTAGTGGTTCCCTGAGAATGAAGAAGAAAGTATCCTACAGAATGGTATGAGGAAACATTTTTATAACTGTATATAATCACCAAAACTCATCAAATCTTAAGTTGGTGAATATCTAAACTATACCTTAAAAAATATAAAGATAAGAAAAAAATAAATTATAAGTTTTTATTGCCATAAGAAATAAATGAACACATACAGAAATACTATTATGTTAGTTAGCTTTGCATTGCTGTGACTAACATTGAACAAAAACAACTTACAGGAAGAAAAGTTTACTTTGGCTTGTGGTTTCAGAACTTCAGTACATGGTTGGCTGACTCAATAGCTATGGGCCTAAGGTGAGGCACAAAATCATGGCAGAAGGGCATTGCAGAGAAAAGCTGCTACTTAGTTCATGGGAACCAAGAAGCAGTAATAGCTTCAGTGCAAGAAGCCAGCAATAACATAATCCTCAAAAATGATACCCCCTTAATGATTTACTTCCTCCAGTTATGGCCTACCTGTCTATAGTTACCACCCACGAATCCACATTATTTATCGATCAATTGGATTAAACCAATACATGGATTTAGGCCACAGGTCATTATCTAATGATTTCACCTCTGAATATTCCTATTTATCTCACACATAAACTTTTGGGGGACAGCTCACATCCAAACCATAACAACTATCATAACAAACCATTACCTAATCTTATTATTTATACACACACACACACACACACACACACACACATCTTTAATTCCTAAAGTTAATTAAACTCTGACATTAGTATAAACTACTCTAGGAAACACTTCTATATGTAAATCAATGAATGCCATTAAGTCCTAACAAATTTCATGATCTTAAAATTAGACAAGTTCAAAGCTAAGACTCCAAAATTTCCATAAATAAGAAATTAATTTACAAACATTCCTCTATACCTATTTTATAATAATTCTGAAGCTAAGTATTATGAGAAGTAGAGAAGTATTGTATGTATGTATGTGCATGTATGTATATACCATATATATATACTGTAAGGAACAAAACTCTAACTGAAGATTCAATAGCTGTACTCAAATGCAAGGTCTATACAATAACATCTTACTTTAAGGAAATAAAATCTAACTGAATTTACCATATTTCTATTCATAAATGCAAAGGTTATATAGTAGAACCTTATTAATAAATTCCGATGTTTCTTAATCTCATGAGAAAGCAAAGTTCTCCATTTCCTTCTTCCCATAAAACACACTAATGATGCCAATGACAAGCTTAATGTTTGTAATTGGTGTGCTGCTTTGTAAAACACCAGCACATTTGTTCCCTTAAATCTAAAAATGTTTGCTTCCAAGAAGTAATTGATTTTGTTCCTAGAACTGTTTACCATTCTACTGAATCAAGAAAGTTCTAGCTGTAAGTAACACCACACAAAGTTTTGAACAATGAAGAAACTTCATTACTTCACTTAATAAGAAATGTTGAAGTAGAACGCACCTTTGGGAGACTGACTATGCCCAGCCTTTGTACCAGTTGATTTTTATTTATTTAGATGCAAGATGGCTATAGAAACTCTAAAAAAAAATCATGTAGTTTAATTCCTAAGATTTTTTTTTTTTTTTTAATTAGGACAAACTTTCCTAGCAGGTCTGCACTTGCACCTTATTGACCTCAATTACCTTTCCCCTCCAAACTGGTATTACAATGACATACAGATGGTTAGCAACAGAAAGAAAAATTCTGCAATTAAGTTCCACTGATAGGAATATAGAAGCCGTGCAACTTTCTGCTTTCAAACAATCTTGCTCAAATAGCAAAATCCCATAATCATAATGTCCAACACCCTTACCCACAATAGAATTTTCCTTCCTGGATCATCTGCATAGTCTATAGGTTTGAAGACAAATGAGTCTCTAAACTAGTAAGTGGTAAGAGAGATCTCCTATTGTCCTAATTCTGTTAAGGAGAGTAATTAGAAACATTAGTGCACATAATAGTTAAATTTCTTCATAATATTACTATGGTGCTATTTTTTAGATAGATGAGCTACATTTTACAGACTAACCTACAGATTTACCATTGTAGGGTAATGGCTCTGAAATTTATAACTCCAGTATGGAATTCTGATATGAATTCCAGACTCACAAATCCAATACTGTACCTGACATTTCCACTTGAATATGTAATAAGTATCTCAAATTGAAACTGATCTATTGATATTCTCTGTAAAACTTGCCTCTCCCATAATCTTTTTCATCAAAGTTAATAATACCTCATTTCCAGGCGGAGAACAGAACTCCTTCTTTTTCTCATCATCTACATGTTAATTTTGAGCAAATCCATAAACTGATCATTTACCAAAGCTTTGCAAACCAACTTTATTCTAAATCTGATAACTGTAACAACTTGGCTTTCTCAGTGGTCTCCCTGATCCTACCTTTCTCACCCTCATTCTGTTCTCAACAGAAAAATGCAAAGTCTGATCATAACATTCCTTTCATCAAAACCCTCACTGCCTTTTTGATCTTATCTCTTAATGACTAGCTTTGTTAGTAAGTTGGGGTTTTTTGGGGGCAGGGTGCTTAACTGCTGAGCCACATCCCCAGTCCTTTTAAAATATTTTATCTACAGACAGGATCTTGCTGAGTTGCTTAGGATTTTGTTAAATTGCTGAGGTTGGCTTTGAACTCAAAATTTTCCTACCTCAACCTCTTGAAGCACTAGGATTACAGGCTTGCTCCACTGTGCCCAGCCTAAATTGTTTGCTTTAACTCTGGAAGCGTCTACTTAAATAGGAGCTAGTTTCTTAAAGGAATCAGTTTACATGTCTAAAAACAGTGAAGTAGAGAATCAAAGACAGTCGATCTATTTTCTTCATAAAACGACAGAGAAGAAAAAAAAGATCCAGTGGCTGCAATGGCTTTCTTCTCATTCAGAATAAAAAGGCCAAATGATGATCACAAAGGCCTCCAAAAATCTATAACTTCATAATCTTCCCTTTCCACCCCAACCTCAGCTGTTATTTTTCTCTTATTCACTCCATTGGTGTCTATTTGGCTTCCTGGCTATTCCGAGAACTAAGTAGTCACATTCCCACTTCAGTGCCACCTAACACATTCACTTCATTTGAAAACCCTTTCCTTCAGATATTTTGAAGTTTCTGTATCTTCTAAAAGAGGTATTAACTCACATTATCCTTACAAAGAGGTCTTACTTGCCTTATCTTCTGATTAACCCCTCCCTTCCCCTTTTCTTTCCTCTTTAAAATGTTTTAACATATATAACAAAAAATACTTAGAATCTTTTTATTGTCTAGTTGTCCTTATTAAAATATAAATGCCATGAGGGCAAAAGTACTTTTTATTTATTGCTATGTGTTCAGTGTTTTAAACAATGCCTCTGAAACATGGTAGGAGCTAAAGAAAATATTGGTTAAATGAACGAATACTAGAACATGTGCAAAATATGCAAAGGGATGCACATATTTAAGAAATACAAATCAAGAAGGCTTGGTAATATGAGTGTGAGAAGTAAAGTTTTGGGCATTCCAGTGGTGCTATGGAAGAGGTAGAAATGAATTTCTTTTTTCTTTTCTACTTCTCTATGATTACTGCTAAGGTTAAGTATTTCAGAATCTCAGCCTCAGTCTACCAAATCTGTATTTATTTAATCTCCATTTAAAAAGTATAATTAGTATACACAGAAAACATTTAAATGTAAACATTAAGAGAATCAAATAATAAGATCATTAAGTGATTTCAAGAGAAAAATCTTAGTGTCCTTAGTGCTAAGGACACTCTAATCTGTAGTAATTTGCACCTTATCAGAATCACAAATTTTAGATTTGTTTCATTCACTAAATATAATTTTCACCACTATAAAAAAGTTTTCTTAAAAAAGGCCTAACATGGTACATTAAGCTATTTAAAAATATTTTGTATGTACTTTATAAATACAAATAAATCTAGTTTATCAACTTAAATTTATTTACTATTACATAGTATCTTACATAAAAATAAACATAACACAGAGAGAGATAAATAAATATAAATAAAGTTATAGAGTAAATATCCCTCATTTTTGTTTGTGTTACCCCAGAGGCAAATCTGTCAACAAAGACTGAAGTGAAAGTGATCTATTTGGTAGTAAAACACAGGAAGGGAAGTAAAAAAGAGAAAAATAGAAAAATTAGCAGCCCAATGAAGGTGTTTTTTTAAACAAGATAACATAATACTTTAGGGCAACTTGGGTTTAATCCCACTCAGAAGCTGAGGACTAGGGTAAAGCACATATCTAAGAATCATTTGTTATCGTTTAGTACTAGGTGTCCCCTAAAAGCTCATGTGTGAGATGATGCAAGAAGGTTTAAAGATGAAATGATTGGGTTATGAGAGCCTTAACCCAATCAGTGAATTAATCTGATGGTAGGGATTAATTGAGTGATAACTGAAGGCAGGTATGGTGTGGTTGGAAGAGGTGGGATATTGGAGATGTTTCTCCGGGGTATATATTTTGTACCTGGTGAGTGGAGTCTCTCTCTTTCTGCTTCCTGGGTGCTTTTCTCTGCCACCCTCTTCCTCCATGATGTTCTGTCTCACCTCAAGTACGAAACAATGGAGCTGGCTGTCTATGGACTGAAACCTCTGAAACTGTGAGCCCCTAAATAAACTTTTCCTCCTATAATTGTTCTTGTCAGGTCTTAGTCACAGCAGCAAGAAAGCTGACTAAAATATCATACCACCTGAAATGTTACATCAGTTATTGGTTCAAGGCTATAGAGGGGAGGAATTAATTTCCAGAACTTATATATGAGCAGTACTTGTTTTAGCAGCAGGAGAAAGCCCACAGAAAAGAAATGGTGATAGTGCAGGTATAAACCAGTCTAGCAGCACACTATGACATGGTAAGGCCCGAGAGTAATTGGATTAAGTGCCCTACAGCAACTTCTATTTCCATGATTACAGGCATATGCCTCAAATTACAATCCTCCTGCCTCAGTCTCCAGAACTGCTGAGAATATAGGCATGCCCAATCATACCTGGCTAGTAAAAATACAGGGAAATATTCTTACCTGCTTTACTCCATAGTAATCAGTAATACTGCAGATCAGCTGTGACATTGCCTGAACTTCATGAGATTTTTTCATATTCATAAACTCAACTGGCTTCAAATTTTCAGCTAAATGAAAATAAAACAAAACTGAAATAACACTTCTAAAGCAAAATTTAATAGAATTAAAATTATCAGTCAATGTTCATTTTTTGGAATTAAATATGAAAATAAGATAGAAATTCTATTGTGGTATCTGATAGATTTCTATTCCTTAGCTGCTATGAATCTAATTTGAATAAAGATCTATATATCATTAAAAATGTCCCTTGATATAAGCAGTTAATGATAAAGACTGAAAAACTATACTACAAAACAAACTTTTTCATTAAGAGATGACTTCAGAGTGGAAAGGCAAGCAACAAAATGGGAAAAAATATTTCCAATATATACAACTACAAAAACAAAATGAATTTCTATATATCAATAAGTACCTGTACTGTCTAGTACAGTAGCTACTAACCATGCATGATTATTTAAATTTGCATTTAAAAAATTCAAATAAAATTGCAAATTGTTTCTGAGCTACATTAGGCACACTTAAAATGCTCAACAACCATGTTGTTTTCTATTGTCCCAAGAATCAAAGATACGTATTTCTATATCAATGCAGAATATCACATAGGATGGTGCATTACGGTATATACTCTACATTATAAAAGTGGCCAAAGAGCATGTGACAAAGTAGTTAACATCATCACACATGTGAGAGCCAGGCAGTAGGGAACTGAAATGTAGTGCTGGGATGATTATTATAGTGTAACAGTTTTGTTCACTTTGAGTTCCAAAATGCAGTCCTTAACCATTATAATCAAGGGAAGGGCCAACGGTGCTATCCTTGATACAGAGTCCATTCAGTTATTGCCAGTCAGCAACATCTGAGATTAAAGCTCAGTGAACTTCTATACAGCTTCAATAGCAACGTTGCTGGTAAACTTATTTAGCAACTGGAATACCCCTACCAAGAGCCATGATTTATCAAAAAGCCCTCTGTTTTGCTGCAGGAGAAACTATGAAATAATTTTGCTTAAAATGATTAAAGAGATTAATGAAAAATATTAAAATAATGAAAGAATTACATTTAAAGGGAAAAAGCTCCCTTTACAAATGATAACTCCAGTGGATACATTTTTAACAAGTAAGCAAACTTATTTTCATGAGTAATAGGTGAAAATTACATGTGTCTCCTAGTATCATGAATGAGAAAGGGATTATGTTAAGTAGTCTTCAGGTAAAAAATGTATAACCTGAATCTAATCATAGGGAAATAATCAAACAGACCCAGCCTATATGCATTGAAAGTATCAGTGTCGGGAAAAACAAAAGGCAGGCTGAGGAACTGTTCTAGATTAAAGAATTAAACATAAAACTAAATACCACACACAAGCTTGGACTGATTTCAATACTAAGGAAAAAACTGGCTATACAAATATTTTTAAGAAACTTAATAGAAATTTGAATACACATTGCTTATTAGATAGTATTACTCTAGCAATGTTAGATTGCTTATTAGACAGTATTACGCTAGCAAGGTTAGATTCCTAAGTGTGTTCATGTGTTATGAGATAATTAGGAAATGTCCTTGTTCTTGCAAGATATATACTGAAGTACTTGAGGGTAAAGTGTTAAGATATATGTAATTTATGTTCAAAGGATTCAGATAAAAGGCTGCATGTGCATGCGTGTGTGTGTGTGTGTGTGTGTGTGTGTGTGTAAAGAACTACAACAAATGTGAGGACATTTTAACAAACAGTGAATCTAGGTGAAAATTATACAGGGTTCACTGTACTACTTTTGCTACTTTTTGCAACTTTTTGTAACTTTTCAAAATAAAAAGATGGGGAAAGGAGGATTAAATGAGATAACAGTTCCCAGCTTTGTGGACAATAAATAAGGTCTGTAATTCATTATTTTATTATTTAGATAATAATAAGTATTAAAACTGGCTCCTACCTCAACATTAAAGACTGTTTTTAATTTTTTTTATTTTTGTAGTTATACTTGGACCCAATAATTTTATTATTTATTTATTTATTATTTTTATGTGGTGCTGAGGATCGAACCCAGGGCCTTGCATGTGCGAAGCAAGCACTCTACCACTGAGCCATAACCCCAGCCCCTAAAAGACTGTGTTAAAAAAAAAAAAAAAAAATCGGTCTTCTTTTCTCTATCTGAATAGGAACATATAAGTCATTCACATTTAATAAAATTATTGAATCAACTGAGTTTTAATCTACTATGTTGCCATTTGTTTTTTCACTTGTGCCATCCCTACTTTCTCACACTCAGGTTTCTCCCTCATACCCCCAACCACACTGTGCATTTCTCCCACCTCTTCCTAAAGAACCAGCCATAGCAACCAGTAGCCCACAGCAACAAAAATTTAAAAAAAAGGATTTTGTAATTTGTATTATCCCACTGTAATCTATGTTTGAAGGGCAGGCACTAACTAAAGATAGCCAGAGGCTAAAGTAAGAACAAAATTCAGAGATCTATAAGTTATTCTGTTTAATATGGTATAAAAGAAAATCAATTATTCTAGGTATAAGATAATTTATCATGACTTATAAGGTCTAACAATAAGAATATGTTGGAAAGATAGTATATATCTTCTAAGTATCTAAAACACATACATGTATACACATAAACACACATACCAGTCCTCTGTTTTTTATTTCCTTGAAGAGCTACAAGCAACTGTTCAAAAGAAGTACACATTCCCAAGTTTTGAACAGAATAATATTTTGCAGCCAGAGCAAAGGCTTCCACACTCACTAGCTTCTGAGAAGTTTCACAAAATGCTTTTGGAAAATCACTAACACCTAAAAAATCATGATAGGAGAACAAAAACAAAAACATTAGTAATAACTAAATAACCAAAAACTAATCAGTATGAGATTTTAAAATAATAAATGAATGTTGGAATTTTATAGCAAATTACAATATTTTTGTTTCAGTGTGAATTTTGGCAGTATCTCTAAAAGTTCCATTTGTATCTGTTATTTAAACTATAGCTATTTGTAGACAATAAATAAGGTCTGTAATTCATTATTTTATTATTTAGATAATAATATTAAAACTGGTTCCTACCTCAGCATCAAAGACTGTGTTTTTAAATATTTTTTGTAGTTGTAGTTGGACACAATAACTTTATTATTTATTTATTTTTTTATATGGTGCTGTGGATCGAACCCAGGGCCTTGCACGTAGCACCCTGTTTTAACATTTTACTCAATTATATGTTTAAATATCAAATCAAATTTTGGCTCATTTCAAGAGCTAATAAAAGAAAGACTTAAATCTTAACAGTAAGATAGTTACTTAATTAATGAAATAGTCCTGTCTGATCTATAACTGTGCATTTTCAGTTCAACCCTTTATAACACTATTACCTTACTATCCATACTGCCTACAGAACAATGGTAATAACCCCAGTGGTATAAAGGTTACTATAAAACAGTTCCTCTGTCATTTGGACCATATAGACTTACTTGTGTGTGTGTGTTGTGTGTGTGTGCGCCTGCACACACATGGGCGGGGGGTGGGGGGCCTATATGTATTGCTGAAGGTGTTGTCAGTCTGATAATTCTAAAACTAACTAAGTTATGATCTGGTAAAACAGTTCATTTTTCCTCGTGGTCAGTTTTTAACCACACATTTTCTTAGAAACTGTTGACAGTTTCTAAAGGCTCACAAATTCAAAATAGTATGGGAAAGTGGTATACTGTTTACAAATATCAGTGCCCCTCTGGGTAGGAGTATGGATAAATACCCTATTAAACTTAGGTATAGCAACATCTTGCTTAGGTAAACTAGACCATTTTTAGGCAGAAGATTTAAGAATATGGGAAGAACTTTCCCTAGCTCTGTGATTTGTGAAGATGGAACTCATCTCAATCTGAGTCCCTGAATGACTATGTCAAGGTAAGCAGTATTGTCAAACTATAATGAATAAGTATACACCAATGGAAATACAGGATGAAAAGTCAACTACATTGCTTTCCATCACTGAGGTTTTAGGCTTATTATTATAGCATAATGCTGCCTATTCTGATGGATATGTAAAGGCACATTGACAGATTTGCTTAATCTTATTTTTCTATGGTCATTTTTAAGTCAAGTCAATTTACTTAATAGGATTTTTAAAAAGGCATTCCAATTTGTCTGTAGTAGTTCAAAGTAACTCTAGATGGAGGGGTCGAAGTAAGCCTATTTGCTGATAATTATTTTTTAAAAAACTGACATAACAACAACAAAAAACTCCATCCAGTGGAAAAATAAAATACATAAAATGCTCACCTTATAAAAGCATGGTACAATCTATATACTACAGAAGTCTTCTCTAGCACAGCTGATCCTCAGTTAATTACAAAATTATAAAAATTCACCTAAACACAAAGAATAATGATGCTATTTGACAAGGCCTGAAAGCAAGATAACTGATGTAGGTTTATAGAATTCTAAACAAAAACAACATATTTAAGCTATTATCTTTTGAAAGCTAGTATTTCTTAAGTAGGTGGGGGCAATGTTTACCAAATTCATTAATAGAAAATTGGCAGGGATATGCAACTTCTATTTTTTAATCAACTAAAAAGAAAAGAAGATTTCAAAATTACTATAGTGAATTTATTTAAGATATATTTTATGTGTTATATAAAGTTCTTTGGACATTTTACAAACTGAACTGATACAGCCAAAAAGTAATAAAATCCACATCAAAATATTTAGGCATGATACAGAGGGAAAGCTCAGTCAACTATTAAGTGAGACTCTCAGGTTTAAGAGCAGTCTCAACATCCCCAAGTTCCAGGGCAGCAATTTCTTAGAGTGTGATAGAATAAGAGTATTAAATCTCAATGTGCAAAGGGACTATTATAAAAGTCAGTTATTGGACAATGTTGCCAACAGAAAGAAATGTGATGTTTCTGTTGGAAAAGTAAAGGTTCAAATCAACTTAACTATCCTACTGAAAATACTTGAAAATTTTTCAATCAAACCTGAATTAAATATTGTTAATTTGCTTTCAATAATAGCCCCCTACCCCCATTATTTCAGAAATTTTGGAGATCTAAATTGTAATGATAATAACTTTCAACAATAATTAATTTTTAAAAAGGCCAATGTTCTGATCCAGCTCAATAGTTTATATCATTAGAGTTAACACCATTTTATTCAGGCCAGAATTCCATGAATAAAATCTTTTTGAATTATGGAACTACATCCACTATACTTATTTTGTTTTTAAGTTATTCAGCCCACTTATAACTTCCATGACTTGCTACTTTTTAGAGATTCAAAGAAAGAAATGTCAACCATCTTGTCTTTACTTCTGTCTCTGAAATAGTATGTGAAAAGTTAGTTATAAGGCAATGATAACGGTGTCAAGAGTTCGCACAGTGCTTCCTTGGGTACCTGTATAATCAGTTTGGGAACAGCAACTAGTAAAACAGAAACCACAGGATTACTTATATTTAGTTAATTCTTAGATTTTTTTTTTATTTTTGTACAGGGAAAGCTTGTTAAATTTGTTGCCCATTTTACCTGCATATTATGTGGCTTGATTATTTTGCCCATAACACCCTCTACTGGAAGTTCCTGTTCTGTTTCATTATATGCTTTTCTTGTGTTCTCCACATACTTTTATTTTTCATGCAACCTACTATTTCAGAGAAGAGAAACTTCTTATAAGAAAAAGGCCAGTGTTATAAGACAGTTATTATAAGATAGGTTAACTGAGTGAGAAGTGGAGGAAGGAGGTATTTTCTATAAATATGAGACCAGAATATCTTTTTTTATATCAGATATCAATGTGTAAGAAAAGATAGAAAAGTCATTCATATATATTACATTATGAAAGTCTTAAGCAGACGAATTCATAATACAATTTCAAAACTAAAAATACAATGAATATACATTTACAATTAATAATAAAAACTAAATTTCAAAAATAAATGTCTCTTGAATGTTATGAAACACTATGGGAGATGACATCTGTCAGGGTTCACAGTAATTCTTCACTATTATGCTATGTGCCAAGTACTATGCCAAACTCTTTTCCTTTCATGATAGTTTTCTAAGCTAGTTAATTAGTGCTTTTATCCCCATTTACTGAGGAAAAAACTGAGACATAGGGAAGCTATGATTGATCCAAATTTGCACAGATACTAAGTGGCAGGGCATGTAAACTGAGGCAGTCTTGACTTCAGAACTTGCTCTTAATTCTGTTATCATGCCACAGTGATAAGTATAGTGGACAATAAAGGAAATCAGGCAAAATAGCAGTGAAAAAAAAAAGCGTTAAGCAAACCTGTCAGCTTCAGGTTTGGCAATAATTTCCTCCTGTAGAGATTAAAATATTTTGTACTCTGTCTTCATAACCACTTTTTTCATTCCCCTTTAACACCTTCTCTCCACCAGAATGATTTAAAAGTTTTTAGAAATTGAGAAGTAATTTTTACATGTAAAATAACTGATAAGTCTCTGAAAGGGGAATAAAAATGTTTTTATAAGATTCACTGTGTAATCTATTTCTAGAGACAAAATACTACTGCTACAAGCTAACTGTAAAGCAAGTACTTCGCACACAGCATGAATGAATGAACGAATGAATGCCTGCATGCATGAATGACAGCAATATTTCAATACACTTACTATTGTAGCATCATCAGCTACAGAAAGAGAGACGAACTCTCCTAAAAACTCTGTGGATGTAATCACTGAGGCCTCTACGAGGACTTCAATAGCCTGTTAGAGAAGCATAAAATCTCATTTCAGCCCAAATATTTATAATTGTAGGATAAGGTGAGAGTGATTTAGAACATTTAGAATGTGACATAAAATGAAATTATGCACCAAAATTTGTGTTACAAGAGTGAGGGGAAACTCAATATCACACAGCCTATGGATCAGAATTTCAAGAAACCAGTGGTGCCTTCCTCATAATAATCTTCAAAGGACATAAGTTTTTATATTAATTTCTACACAAATATTCTAAAGATTTCTTCAGTTCAAAGGTTCAGAACCAAACTGAATGTTGTCATTTTACCATAATCTTTCTCTTATTTCCTGACTTAAGAGCATTTTCATGTAGTGTTAAAGTTAAAATTCTTCAAGTTATCTTAAATATTTCTTGTGTCCTCAATTTATACATCTACTCACGCCTCCATCTGGATGTAAAAATGTCTTTTGTTTGGAAACCTCCTCCCTCTATCACTGCTGTGGTTCAAACCCTATTAACTCTCACCAGTGCTACTGTAAAGGCTTCATAGTTGTTATTTTCCTTTTGGATAAAAGTCCCACAGCACAATGCTCACTTGTTGAGTTGAACTGAACATGTTTTCTAACATAAAAATTTACCTTTATTCAATACAAATTTATTAAACTCTTCCTTTTTGGTATTGGTGATTGAATCCAGGGGCACTTAATACACTGAACTATACCCTGAACCCTTTTTTGTATTTCATTTAGAGACAGGATTTTGCTGAGTTGCTTAGGGGCTCAATAATTTGCTGAGGCTGGCTTTGAACTCACAATTCTCCTGCCTCAGCCTCCCAAGCCACTGGGATTACCGGTTAATTAAGCATTTTAAAGTTTTGGCTTCTGTTAACAGTTGACTTTTAACTTCAATCTTTGATAAATTTTTAATAAAATTTAATCAAATGCTAAAATGTCTTATCAACTTTTGAAAATTAAAGATAGGCCTAGCTAAATTTTATGAATGTTTGAGTTTATCTATCTTCCTATACTCTACCAAGGAAAAAACCAGAATATATCCTATTGCTTTTAAAAGAAACTAATATCATCCAATTATGTGTTAGGAAACTTTTTGATTAAGTCATTACAGCTTAATTTACAGTTGCATATGAAATTTTTAATAAGTTACTTAAACATTTAAACCATGCTTTTGGATAGGAATAAGAAATAATTAACAAGAAATTGACATTCATATCTTTACTGTACCAATACTAACATCACATTGAATGTATAAGTTCGTTTAATCATGCCAAAAGTAATTTCACAATTATATTTATAAAACTGACATTAAATATAAAGATAGAAAAATTTAACCATAGTATTTTAACTCTATCAGATTCTTTTCTCTTGAGAGGAACAAAAATATTCAAAGAAACAAATTTAAAAATGTATTTGCTAAATAAAAATAAATTAGTTAAAAAGTAAATTAAGTCAGAGATGCCTAGTATGTAAACAGTTGTCATGAAAGATTATTTCAGCTCCAAAATCTTAGGAACAGGAAGATGACTAAAATAATAAATGAAGAACAGCTTAACTTGTGGGATACGGGACTAGAATTTTGTAGGGGAAATTTATATAACAATTAACTCAGAAAGCAATACAACAGTTGAGACCCACACATTTTCAATCTCAAAGATTAAAAAATGTTGAACATTTATTTGGAAAATGAAACCAACTAGTTTTAGATAAGAGCACTCTCACATAGTTGAAATTAAATAATATATAATAAATCAAAAAGCAATTCTAGGGCAATACTAAGAGCACAGGATTTCTACAGATTATTTGATTTTTAAAAAGCATAATAATTAAATTACCAGATCACATGAAATGGGAAGAAACTAAAATAAAAGTCTCCTAAAAAGAAATGTTTTTCTTTTTTCTTTGGGTACTGAAGATTGAACCCGGAGGCACTTATCTACTGAGCCATATCCACAACCTTTTTTTATATTTTATTTAGAAACAAGGTCTCACTGAGTTGCTTAGGACCTCACTAAGTTGCTGAGGCTGGCTTTGAACTGGCGATTGTCTTGCCTCAGCCTCCAGAGCCTCTGGTGCGCAATTGTGCCTGGTGGGATGCAAGTTTTTGAAAAAAAGATTATACCTTGTTCGCTATTGTATTCACAACACCTAGCTCAACATTTTACTCAGAAAATACCAAGTAATTTTTGCAAAAATAAAAATAATCAGGCACACTTGGATTGGGAGGCTTAGAGAATACTGACCTATTCTGGGCTCTACAAATGACAACATACATTTTAAAAAATAATGACCCTGCAGAGGTTGCAGAAGGGAGGCTCGAGGATTGCCTATTTCTTTCTCTCAAATAGCAGTAAGTTTAAAGTCAACCATTTCTAGTACTTAATAATTCAGCATATTGCCCAGAGCAGTGATAATTTACACTATGCTAAAAAACAAACAAACAAACAAACAAAAAACTAAACTAATTTTAAAAATTCAAATAGCTATTATCATGGTTTCTTTTCCTCCTCAGTTAGATCTTTTATTCCTGAGTAACTTCAATGAGATCTTGCCTGGACAAGACCTTGTCTCCCCTTGTTTATTTCTCTTATGTACTTTTTCTCTGTAGCACTTAAAAAAAAATTGGGGGGGGGGTGTGCTACTTCATCCCTTTACAATTCTCTAACTTCTAGAAAAGTACATGGCACACAGTTGACACTTGATTACCATGTTTGCTGACTGGAGTAATAAATGGGAAGTCCCTAAGAACACAGAACTGATAAATGGTAGAAATGGGATTTGAACCATGACTCCAAAGTTTACAAATTTCACAGCTACTCTATAATGTCCATAATAACTCACAACTATTTAATAAAAGAACAAATCTAGTCAAAATGATTCTAATGCTCTTCTCTAACACAAATAATGAACCTCATAAAATAATGAGGGAAATGCTCATCTTTCCATCATCAGAAATTAAGATTCCTTATAACACAGATTATTAAAACTCATTCTTTTAAATACAAGAAGTGGCTGAGCAGTTGGATAATTGAATATTTTGTATAAAAAAGCTTTTAGGTCTAGAGATATTTCAAAAGTTAACAATCTTCTCTAGATTTCACTGCTGTTGGATACAAAAAAAAATGTTTTTTTATTTTCAAAATATAGATTCTAGTAGAATTCACATTACTCTGGGACAGGAACTACAGAGCCCACAAAAACTCACCACTGCATTAGCAGATATGCAAAATCGTCACTGCTACCATCCTAATTCAAATAAGTCATCATTTCCGTACACTAATTAATCTCTTCTCTCTCTCTCTCTCTCTCTCTCTTTTCTTTTTTGGTACCCGGGATAAAACCCAGGGGTGCTTAACCATTGATTCACATCCCCATCCCTTTTTTTATTTTTTAAATTTTGAGACAGGGTCTCGCTAAGTTGCTGAAGGTCTTGTTAAATTGCTAAGGCTCGTTTTGAACTTGCCATCCTCCTGCCTCAGCCTCCTAAGTAGCTGGGATGACAAGCGTGCCCCACTGCATGAAATCATCTCTTAACTAGCTTTTGCACCACTGAGTAATTTATTCTTCAAAAATCCCTCAGAGTTATCTCTTCAAATATATATGTTAGATTAGGTCACCAAGCTGCCTAAGTGACTCCAGAGGTTTTCCAACACATTTAAAATACCAAATCTCTCTATGGCCCAGAAAGCTCTATGTGACCTGGTCTCTGTGTACTTCTATGACTGCACCTGTTGCTGCCCTCAGGTCCTGGCTAGTCTATCCTGTGGTTCCCACAGTCAGCAATCCTGTTCCCTTGGCTCTAGGCCAACTACTGCCTTCCCATCTTAGGTTAGGGAGGCTCTTTCCACAAGCCCTGTCCCCTCACACTGTTTTTATTTTTCTACTTGGCCATTAGTAACATCTGAAATTACCTTATTTCCTACCATGTTTCCACCTAGAATCTATAAACCCAGTAAAAGCACTGTACCCTGGTTTCCCTCAAATCAAAAATTGTTTGATGACTAAATGAATGTCCCTTGTTTTCCTTAAATTATGGTAAGTCTCAATACACCCCAATACAAAAGAGGCATCGCAGAAGGGCTATCGCCACCCAGTCCCCAGTAAACTAATCCCTGATTTCCCGGGAAAACGACGCTCCGCCGCTGCCCGGGTCAGGTGTGCTTCCACCTGGCTGCACGTGGTGCAAACAGGACCCATCTCTCCTCCCTTCTCACCCCCTGCCCCCACTCCGTCATTCACCTGCTCGCGCCTCTGCTTCCACCAGGGGGCGCGCCTCCGAAAACCCGGCCTCCGCCTCCGCCTCCGCCGCGGACCTCTTCAACACAGCCAGCACAGTCTCCGGAGACAAGTCAACCAGCTTTTCCCACACGGACTCTGTGTAGAAGTCCACCGTGTGCGCGTTGGAAATAGGCAGAGCGTCCCTCAGGAACCGCAGCAGTCCCTGTAACTTGGCATGCAGCGTGGGCAGGTCCTGGGTCGCCGGGAGAGGGCAAGCAGCAGCCATGACGCTCAACCTCCCGGGCTGTAGGTGGCGCAAACATGGCCGCGCGGCATCGACTCTTGACAAAAGTGGTGCAGACCTGATCAGTAGAGCTCCGAGTTGGCCTTTAGTTTGGCGATGGATTGCTTTTGTTTGGTGACGTCTTTCAGGAACGTCCGATCGTGGGGATCTGTCGACTTAATTGGTCCACGATGGCACCCGTCAGGCCGGCAGCGAGGTTGAGAGCCGGTGGTTTGGGGACGCGTGTTGAGGGGGTTTCACCTGTCGGAGGCAGGAATAAGAATGGGAAAAAGAGGACCTGGCGGCCTAACTATCCTCAAGCTTTTTCGGGCAGCGTTCGCGAGGGTGCGTAAGAAGACAGCCATTTAGAAGCCCTTAGGCCTGCGAAGTCCTGGGACGCGCGACCCGCCTAAGCTTGCAAGAAGGTTTTAGGAACCAAAACCTGGGTCCTGCTAGGGACAGAGGAAGCCATTCCTAAAACCGCTGACCAGAGCTCTGGATGGGCAGATGGGGGTAGAGTTGATCATTTAAATCGGGTTAAAATGTCTCCTTAGAAATAATATCAGACTTGATGAGAACTCCTTTCCTCTGTGGCCCTAAGGGGAGAGCGCCTGCATTTCCACTTGGGTGTGTTACATTTACACATTTGAACCTGTATTATGGTAAGAGTGGAGTGCAGGACGGGGCCAGAAATACAGCTCTCAAACTTCGCTGATTCCAGATATCGCAATAGCCATTTGTATCTCACGGTTCTTCTTAACTTTTTTTTTTCTTTTTTTCTTGCCGTTAGGTCCCTCAGATTCCATTTTGAATGCATAACCATAAAAAAAATTCAGTCTTCTGATAATTGTTAGTTGTGCAAGAAAGTCAAGCACTTTTTTTTCTTTTGATTGCAGTATTTTTACCTTAGAGAAACTTACTACACAACGTATTGTAGTAAGTTGTGTATTACGTTGTGTAGTAAGTTTCTCTAAGGTAAAAAGATGTGTTTATTTGTACGTATTTGTTGAAGGGCCTGATTATGTTAGATGACCTAGAGGAATTTGGTTTTTGATTTGTGAGTACAGTTACAAATTCAAGTTTGCAACAGTCTGAACTGCTCAGTTTTTGAGATTTTTAGGTGGTTGTATGACAAATTTCTGCCTAATCTTTTTGCAGATGGCCAACTTGCTGTTCAGCCCCTCTGCTTAAATTTGTTGCCAGACACATTTCTCTTAGAGAATAAAACAAAATAATTGTAACATTTGAATGTAATAATGTATTAAGATTTCATTTTTGATTAACAGCTTTATCTTTTCATTCAATTTATGTTTTGTGATAATAATCATTACCTATATCCTTCAATGTAGGGCAAGGCTTTGCATTTCGGAGAAAACTGAAGATTCAACAACATTACAAGAAATTGCTGTGGAAGAAAAAGAAGGCTCAAATATCACAGGAGTCCCAATTCACAGATCAGTATCCAGATCATCTGAAACATCTTTATTTAGCTGAAGAAGAAAGACTCAGGAAGCAACTGAGAAAAGTTACCCAGCCTTTGTCAGAAGATAAAGTTGACCAGCCTTTGCCTGAAAAAGAGCATAGCATTGACCAGACTTTGTCTGAAGACGAAGGTAGTGTTCATCAGCCTCAACCAGAACAGTGTGGCAAAACGAAAAAGTATGTATTTTTTTCAGAAGTCTTTTACTTTAAATGTAAGTAGTATTTTCTGAAAGGTATTATAGGAAAATTTACATAGGAATTGTGATTTTTCTTATTTAACACATTTAGAAGTCACGGTGTAAGTAGGTGATCATATTTTCTTGGAAGAATTCTTTTTAACTTTAAATAACTGAATTAGACTAGTTTAGCATAAATGAAGAAGTGATGAAGTTAAAATTAAAATATCTGAGCTTTGGCTTTCTGCCTTACGTACATGTAACTTACTTGGACCATAGTAACTCCAATTACTAATATATTTAAGTAATATTTGAGAATTATTGTAAGTGTGGTCAGTAACAGCTTAGATTGTAGAGCCAAACTTAGCATATTGTTTCCTAGTGTCCTTTAAACTGGGAAGGATAATAAGTGTGTAATTGAGAGCCACTGTGTTGCATAGCTGTAGAGTAGATCATTCACTGAGGTAAATGGTGTTAGTATATCTTGATGTGTGATGACAGAGTTAATTTATATCAGGCATTTAAAAGGATGTATAACACATGGTAAGTGCTTATAAGTGTAAACTGCTACTACTCCTGTTACTAATCTGGATTTTCTTCAAAGGATAGGAAATGGTTGTAACTAAAAAATGACATGGCTCCACAACACTTTGGTATTATAAGAGCTAAGTATAAACTGTTTCTCCACATGTTTCAGGTAAAAACATAATAAAAACTTAAACTTTCAAAGAAGTCAGATGATACTTGGGTCCATAATTTGTTCTTTTAACACTATGAATTATTTGTGCTAAAACTAACACGCACTAGGACTCTAGGAAAAAAGTTTAGTTGGGGATAAAGGCATAGAGACTAAAACTTTTTTTTTTTTCAGTAGACTTATCTGTCATATTACTAAACAATGGAGTTGTGCAGTGAAAAAGTAAGCACTAGCACTATAGATTTGAGTTATTACCAGTGATAATTGAAGTGAGAAGAGTTAAATCAGGAAACAAGTTAAGATTTTTTTTTAAAAAAAAGCTTTTTATTTTGAGATTGAAAAACTGTCATTGAAGAAGATAAATAAACTTGTCAAAATTGAAGAATTGGGGAAATGGAAGGACAGCTAACTCAGCAGAGGAAAGTTGTGAGAAGGATCAGAAGAGAAAAAGGTCACCTAAACTAAGAGAGTAGACTTTTCAAAGTAGTGAATAGTCATTTAAAGAGACCAAAAAGGCCCATTGATGATCCTTGGATAGGAGGGCATCACTATCTTGGCCTGGGTAGTTTGATTGGAGTCGGGGACCAGAAGTGAGACATTGAAAAGGTAACAAGTAAATAGGAAGTGACAGTCATGGTCTGTGCTTTATTCTTTCTAGGAACTTGACTATTAAAATTTAGGGGGAAAGATTAGGAGCTAAGAGGACATATACTCTAATAATGGATAATGAATTTTTAAAATTTACATTAGCAAGGGAGTTGCAGAAAAATGTTATGGTATGAAGATAGTGATAAGTTCAGAGACAAAGGAAAGAAAGATTACTACTCAGTCAGGTATCCTGAGGAAATAAACGGTATCCCAGGTATTTAGATTAGCCTTGGAAGGAGGAACACTTTCAAAGAAGTGAAAATGCTGTAATATTGAACATTTCTAAATGGAAACTAGGTCCAAGGCATGGTGGTGGATTAAATAGAATTGAGACAAGGTGGTCAAAGAACTTTGAGCTTAAAGTTTCTTCATACAAGCAACTTCTATAATGTCTTTCAATGTAATGTAATTTGTAGTCTGTCTTTAAATTTTTTTTTTTAACATTGTAGGATCTTTCAAAGCTTTTTCTATTTCCCATAGTGAAATATTTCCAACAATTTTCATTTACCACCCAGTAATTGATTCATAATCTTTTTAAAAAAATTTTTTTCCATTAGATATACATTACAGTAGAATGCATTTATGCACTTTGATATATCATTCATAGATGGAATATAATTTTTCATTTTCTGAGCGTATATGTTGTAGAATCATATCGGTCATGCAGTCATAAATATGCATAAACTAATAATTTCTGTTTCATTCTATTATCCTTCCTATCTCCACATTCCCTCCCTTCTTTCCCTTCACTTCCCTCTACCTAATCTAAGGTAACTCTATTCTTCTCTAGTGCTCCCCACCCCTTATATTGAATTAGCTTCTGCATATCAGAGAAATATTCGGCCTTTGGTTTTGGGAGACTGGCTTATTTTGCTCTGCATGAAATTCTCCAACTCCATCCATTTACTGGCAAATGCAATAATTTCATTCTTTAATGCTGAGTAATATTCCATTGAATATATATATATAATTCATCTATTGAAGGGCATTCAGGTTGGTTCCATAGTTTAGCTATTGTGAATTGAGCTGTTATGAACATTGACATGGATGCATCACTGTAGTATGCTGGTTTTAAGTCCTTTGGGTATACTGAGGAGTGGGATAACTGAGACAAATGGTGGTTCCATTCCAAGTTTTCTGAGGAATATTCATACTGCTTTCCATAGTGGTTGTCCCAATTTGCAGTCCCACCAGCAATGTATGAGTTTACCTTTTCCCCCACATCCTCACCAACATTTATTGTTGCCTGTATTCTTGATGATTGTCTTTCTGGCTGGAGTGAGTTGAAATCTTACAAATAACCCAATCAATAAATGGGCTAAGGAACTGAACAGACATTTTACAGAAGAAGAAGTACAATTGATCAACAAGTATATGATTCATAATCCATATAGTTGCAAGTTGCAAGTATGTTTTTAATCTTATTAATTATTATTAATATGCAAATTGTTTTTTCCTATTCTCTCTTCTATTCTCAATTAATATGCATTAGTGAGACTCAGGTATCAGATTTAAGGAGTGAACGAGAAGTGACAGTCTATTTTCTGTTCTTTATAACTTGACTGAAAAGTTAGGGTGAAAAGATTGTATATAAATATGTATTTGACACAATTGCATCATAATTTTGGTTAAGTCATTTTTAAAACTTTTGATTTATTTGTCTTATAAAGTTCTGTGACTATTCCAAAAAAGAATAAAAAGAAAACATCAAATCAAAAAGCACTAGAAGAATATGAACGGATACAAGCTAAACGTGCTGCCAAGAAACAAGTAAGTTCTACTTTTACAATATTTGGGTATATTTTCCCTTATTATATGGAATATAACTTGTGTTTCTTGGGGTGGTATTCTTGGGGTAGTTCTCTCTGTAAATATATATAATTTTTTCTTCTTTTTTCTTTTCTTTTTTTTGGGGGGAGGTCATTGGGGTTGAACTCAGGGTACTCTACCACTGAGCTACAACCCCAGCCCTTTTTTGTTTTTAAGACAATGTCTCACTAAGTTGGTCTTGAACTTGTGATCCTTATGC